AAGTTCTAGATATCTGCTCCACAGCATAGTGCCTATAGTTAAAAGTACCGTATTGTGTACTTTAAAATATGTCAAGAGGATAGATCTCACGTTAAACGTTCTTACCACAAAACACACACACACATAAACACACAAACAAGGACATTTCTGAAGGTGATGGATATGTCAGGGCCTTGACTGTGGTGATGGTATTATGGGTACAGACATATGTCCAAGCTCACTGAAATGTATACATTAAATATGCAGAATTTTTGCATATCAATTATACCTCAATAAAGCTTTAAAAAAAATGGAAGGGCCATTGCCCATGATTTTTGTTCCTTTGACCAGGAAAATAAGTTTTTCCATAAATCAAACCACATTTCCTTTTTGCCTCATTGATATAAAAAAAATAGCACCTGAGAAAAAGTAGTGTTAGCTTTTAGAATCTGTATTTTGAGGAGTATAAGGCAAGGGGATGTTTTAAAGGTATTGAGCTAACCAATCAACAGTATTACCACAGCAAACTAATAATATTATTAAAGAATCTATCTAAAAATATTTGATAAATTGTCCCAAAACTCAATCCAGCTACTGATCATCATAAGCCTCCTTCAAATATCGAAATAAGCAAAAACTACGTGTATTGTGTATGAAATAATACTGGAATGACATCAACCAAAATGTTAATAGACAAATAAACCTTGATCAGATGGCACTAACAGCAGCACTCAGTGAACAGAAACTCTACACAGAGTCAAAACAGGACCACTCCCTGCAGAGTCAACTCTGACATAGGCCAAGTGGAAGTGCTAACACAGGTCACTAAGTGAGCTGTGCTCTAGCCACAGAATAAGGTACAACATTGGCCACTGCATGAGTTAGCTCCACAGACCATTCCTGAGAGGGGCTATCAAAGAAGACAGAACACTGACCCTGGCTAAAGCCAGAAATTACATGTTGGGCTTACCCAACTCCTGTTCATATGCATAGTTGAAATCCTGGCCACAATCTCTACACTCATATTATCCATGGATGAAATGCTATCATGGATCTGAGACAAAACTCCAGGGCACATCACAGGTAATGACCTAAAATGACAAAAGATTGAATATTAAACTGGCACACTGACTGTGCCTTAACACTAACCACAGACTGAGCCTAATGCTGGACCAAGAATAAACATTAGCCATGAACACTAATTGTCACTTTACCTGATAAAAGACTGAACATAAGTCCTATTCAAATTCTTATTTAGCCTTTTCCAAGGCAACAAGATCAGCATGAACAGCAACCTCTGGCAGAGCCATAACTGGTCTTTGTTGATTTTCAAGCCTAGAAATACAAGTGATTCCAACACTGACCAAAAAACTAAAGTCAAACCTTGAGCTGAGCCCTATCCCTGGTTGTGGTCCATCTAAGGCTGACCCACAGACAGCTGACACTAATTTTAGAATGAGGCCTCTTCCTACATACAGACTAAATCTTAATATTGGCCAAAATTTGAACCCAAATCTTGTATATTGAATTCCCAATGAGGTATAATCCAGGCCACACTGGAATAATGACAGCCTCCAAGTAAGCTTTCATACCAATCAGAAACAGACTCTGATTCTTGACACAGGTTGAACCATGGCTATATGTCCAGGGCCTAATGTTGATATGAGGCTGAACCCTAAATTTGGTTACATGGTCCTCTAACAAGGGATCCACATTGACTTGTAAAGATAGCAACAGACTGACTAAGCCTTAACCTAAGGAAAGACTGAAGCCAAACACATTCCACCTTATAAACCTGAATGGTGGCCATAATTTGAACTTTACGTTATCTCTTAACAAAACCTTAACCATGGCTTACTGATTGATCTATAAATCCCATCAGACTAACATACCCCAGGCCATTATTCCACAAATTCATCTTCTTAGATGCAAGTATTTCTTTTCCTGGATATATTTTCAGGCATACTTTCTACAAACAATAGATCAAGAGTCTCACCTTTGTATGTGTAATACACACACACATATACACATGCAATCTAATAAGCTTTGCAGAAATATTACTTGTCACAGCTATGTATTTTAATTATTAATCTTGTTTATTGATATGTCTCCCCATTAGAATATAAGCTCCAAAGGGAAGGGATGTTATCTATGTTTTTTTCCCCACTTCTCTATTCTCAACATCTTGAATTATGCCTGGAAAGCTGTAGGTACTCGATAAATACTTGTTGAATGGATGAATGAGTAGTTCCTTGTTACTCTTCTGTCCTCTTATTTGACCTCTCTATGTTATATTCTAGTAATTATACTTTATTTTCTCTTGGTTCATCTATGTGACCATTTCTTCTCAGCTTCCTTTGAAGGCAAGGAAGCTTGACTTCCTCTACCTACTCCTTGAATATAGTTATTTTCTAGGATTCCATACTTACATACATACAATCTTTGTCCTTTAAAAATTACTATTTTAAACACTCTGAGTGAAATTTAATCCATCTTTGCTTAATTACCATCTATATACTGATGTCTAGTATATAGACATCAGTTTAGTCTGATGTTTAGTTCCAACCCAGACCTCTCTCCTGTGCTTCAGACCCACACTTCCTTGCAGCCACCAGGTATCTCCACCCAAATGTTCCACAGACTCCTCAAATTTTAAGTGTCCAAAACTTAATTTCTCCTATCCTTCACAAAACTTGTTACTTTTTCTGGGTTCCCTATCTAAATGAGTGGTAAAACCACATACTCAGTCTTCCAAATCAGAACTTGAGAGTCCCAAGACACTCCTTCTTTTCCCTCACTTTCCATATCCAAATTATCACCAAGTCCATCTGATCATACCATGTCCTTGCCTAAGATCCTTTGACAGTTCTCTGCTATTTCAAGTTAAATTTTGAACTCATTGGTATGGCCCGCTATTCCTGCCTGATCTAGGTTTTTGTTGTTGTTGTTGTTGTTCTTTTTGGTGGGGGGAGGTGTTCTCTGCACTTTCTCACATTCTTTTTTTTTATTTTAAACATTTTTATTTTTTTAAGACTTTATTTGTCAGAGAGAGAGAGAGAGAGAGAGAGCACAAGCAGGGGGAGTGGCAGGCAGAGGGAGAAGCAGGCTCCCTGACAGCAAGGAGCCCGATGTGGGACTCGATCCCAGAATCCTGGGATCATGACCTGAGCGGAAGGCAGCCGCTTAACAGCCACCCAGGCATCCTGCTTTCTCACATTCTTATTCCTCAGTATGAAATATGGTTGACCTCCCTACCCCCAAATACCTTACCCGTTCTTCAAGTCTCACCATTCAAGCATGGCTTCTTTCAGTAGTAGAATGAGTTCTTCCACTTCTATGGTCCTGTAGAATCCTATGTAGACATTTTAAGAGCACTTTTTACATCGTATACTCTGTCTCCTCTCATAGATTGTGAGTTACTTAAGCGCAAGGGCTGTTTTCTAATTCTGTAGCAATAGTGCCTAGCCCAGAGCCTTGCACAAAGCAGTTTGCTGAGTAAATTATTCAATACATTAAGTCCTCTTTTTTCACTTCTCTTTTAAAAATTTTCGGCAATTACCTTAGCAAAATGCAATCCCTCTTTGCATTCATTCCACTTGTGAGTCAAAAAGTTGTCCTGATCAGTTAAATTGTAGTAACCCAACTGTAATGATCCGTTCAGCTATAAGGATTCTTCTCTAACAAAGAAAAAAAGTCAAACATTAGGAGTGAAATCAACGTTAATAAACCATCATTTTCCTCAACTTTTAAATCGTTTGAAAGTGCTAGATGTCGCCATCTATTTCTTTATCTACCTCTTTTAACACATCTATTACTAAAACAATAGTGTTTTTTTTAAGATTCTATTTATTTATTTGACAGAGAGTGAGAGAGAGAGAGACAGAGAGCAAACACAAGCTCGGGGAACAGCAGGGAAGGGAGAAGCAGGCTCCCTGCTGAGCAAGGAGCACAAGGCGGGACTCGATTCCAGGACCCCGGGATCATGACCTGAGCTGAAGGCAGCCGCTTAACTGACTGAGCCACCCAGGCGCCCCAAAAACAATAGTTTCTTAAATAAATATACATTTATTTCTTATTATTCAAGTTGTATTCTCTACCTGTTCTAAATTGTTGCATTACACCAGTGATGTGGTAACTGTTCTTCGTGGCAACTGTTCTTCGTGGCAACAATGTGGCTTCCTTATGGGTTAAATGGGCTTCTGCTGGGCTGGCTTAGATCACATTGCTATGCCTCTTATGATACTACTTAAAAGAAAAAATGTGATACGCGAGTAGAAACATAGTATACATTTTCCCCAGAACCTCTGAAGTGATTCTAATGCAGATGGTTCACACAGAACACACTATGACAGTTTTTTTATGAGAGAGAGAGAAAGAGAGAGAGAGCACGTGAGAGGGGGGAGGGTCAGAGGGAGAAGCAGACTCCCTGCTGAGCAGAGAGCCTGATGCGGGACTCGATCCCAGGACTCCAGGATCATGACCTGAGCCGAAGGCAGTTGCCGAACCAACTGAGCCACCCAGGCGCCCCACACTATGACAGTTTTAAAGGACCAGTTATTCTAAGTTTATCAGAGCATAAATAATATTTTTAAAAAGTTTTTCAATCAAAATTCAATGAGAATTTTAAATCACGACATAAAGGGCTTCCGCTAAAATGCTAATAGCTTAACCACTAGTAAAATAAATCTAGAACCTTCATCTACCCCCACAAGCACAACCCCATACCCCAAGAAGGGAGATTCTGTAGGGCACTACACTACAAACTACAACACCCACAATACCCTCCGCCATCTGAACTCGTGGGAATGATCGGACTGGAGGTAGGAATTGTGGGTATACAGAATCCTCTGTCTTCACTTGAGTCTCTCCTCCAATGCCAATATTGGATCCCCGCCTCCCAGGAAGAATGGCCTCCAACGGCCTAAAACTACATTTCCCATGAGGACAAGGGAGAGGGCCTCCGGCTTCCCTGGTGACCAGTAACCAATAGGAGACGCTGAAGCAGTCGCGATGTGGGTGAGAGTCCCCCCTGGGCCTGAGTGCCGGGCCTAAGCACGCTAGCGCAAGGCGGGGAGTTGAGAAGACAGTTGCGTGGCGTGGGGCGCCGCGAGGGCGCTGTGCTCTCAGAAGCTGTTACGCCGGCCCGATTTTCCGCTGCTGTATAAGGAGTAGCCCTTCGGTAGCCGGGGAGCTGGAGGTCAGAGACGCAGAAAGCCCGAGCGGCTCTGGCTGGGGACTGTGGGACCGAGGGGGCCTAGGGAGGAGGGTGCTTCCGGGCCGCTGTCTTCAGCGCCTAACTCCGCCCAGCTCCGCCTCTGCCGGGGAGGGGGTGTCGGGCCTGGGAGTCGGGGGTGGGCTTTTGAGCTCTCCCCGCCAGTTTCCTCGAGCTTCGATTCTCGGGAGCGCGCCGTCTCTTCTTTTTCTGCCTCTCCCGCTCTCTTTTTCTCCTCACAACGCCATCGTCCATCCCCGCTCCCGTCCGGTGCCACCTCAGAGATCTGAAGTTAGGGTTCTCGACCGGGGTCTTCCTTAGGGCGGCGTCTGGACTCTCCTTACTACTTGGAGGAGTTGGGTGACCTCTTTCCTGTCTTCCCTCAATTTACATTTCAGATTTGGACACACCACTCCCAATGCACACACTCCCCAATTCCCTCTGGGGCGTGGGAATTCCCCGCCACGCCCAGGGAGTGACTTTTTGCCAAATTTTCACTTTTTGCTTCCTTGCTGTTGGGATAAAGATCGTCACCCACTCTTTATTGGCCCTTCCAGCCACCCGCCCCTTCCCTGACCAGATCTTTGGAGTGGAAAGGGTTTCTCCTCAGTTTCTAGAAGGCGTGGGGAGCAGTAGATAGTAGAAATTTCGCTTTTGAGAAATATGTGGTTAAGGTTCAGTGCAGTGTTCTGGTGAGAGTCAAAGGCAAGTTAGACCTCTTAAAAACCGAGCGCTTTCAGGGTTTCCAGCACGGACTGATACAGCACTAATACTGACAAAGATTAGGGGGCACACCGACTGCGGAATAAAGTAGACTGTGCGAAACAGACTATCAATTATTTTATTATTACAAAAGCGTGCAAAAAGTGTGTAATACTGATGTGGTTGGGAGTTGATCTATGGAAGGTCAAGCCTACCCCTGGAAGTGCTGTAGCTTGACATTGTTGTCTGTTTTCCAGACTAATCCTGGTAGGCTTTGTGGAGGAGGTGAATTTTAATTTGGGCTCCAGAGGAGTAAAGAGGATTTGAAATGGGCAAAGAGGAGGGAGAAAATGCCTTCTGGTACCGGGATTGGTATCTGAGAAGGGCAGATAGAAGAGGGAGCACTTTTGTGAAGGGTGGGTATGCCTGACTGGAATAAAAGGTGTCATCAAGGAGAGATTGGGAAAGAAATAGTGTTGGAAAGCTTGGGGTCATAATAACAGGATACTTTAAAGCATCCACATAGTTTGGATATTATTCTGTATCAACTAAAACTAAAGACACAAAATTAAGATTGGATGATTTTTTTTTTTCATCCTAGGGGAACCTGATTTGGGATCATTTCTTGGAGAACACAAAGAAGTGTGGTGGTATGTTCCAGGTGTGAGTTTAATTTAAACCCAAGAAGAACTTTGCCTTATAGACTGTTTTGTTAGTGGCTATTCTTAGCTACACTCTTTAGTTGTCATTTTAAAGCCTGGTGCCGTAAATTTATTTTCTTAAGAAATGTATTTGCTGCCCTTAGGCATCATATTATCTGAATTGTAGTCATTTCATTGGGTAACAATAATGACTATTTATTGAGCCCATGTAATGTTCCAGGCACTATCATAAGCACTTTGTTGCATTATCTTAAGAGTCTTATGACGTAGGTACTATTTTCCCCAGTTTTCTAAAAGAGAAAACTAAAAGGCAGAGAAGTGAAACAATTTACCCAAAGTCACATGGACTGTAAGGAGTTGAGTTGGGGTTTGGATGTATAGATCTCTGGCTTGAAAGCCCATGCTCTCTCCACCATGGTTTACTAGTCTCACTGTTCACTTTTGTTCTTGACTTTCCATTTGTGGTAAGGAAAGATTATTGTGAAGTATAGTTGATCATCCTGGCAGAAACCCAAATGATTCACTTTTAGTTTCTATGTCAGTATGTGTATGCTGTAAAGTAACTGCCAAAACCGAATTAGCTTAACTGCTATTGCAGCTGTAGCTAATTGTGTCTGCCAAAACTATAGTCAGTATGGCTATTTCTGAATCAGATAAATTCTCTTTAAAAAACATGTCTTACATGTAAGCTACCTGGACCTGGACAGTACTTTAGGTTTTGTTTTATTGTAGCTTTTGTTTTAAGTGACTTCCTAGGTCACTAGGTCTCCTCCGTGACCTTTGCTCACATGGAGTGTTCAGGATGCAACAGAGTATGAGATGTGAGCTCTCCCTAGGTCTAGCTGGGGAGGTGTATGCCCATAATTCTGAGATAATGTGTAGTATAACAGAGACAAATGCTATTAGAAGGGTAAAGGAAGGAGTGTCTAACTGTAAGGGAAGGTCAGGGAGAAGGCTTCTGTAAGGAGGTGACCTGACAGGTCTTGAAGGATAATGAGTTTGCCAGGCAGAGAACAGTAGAGGGGAGGCATTCCAGATTAGAAAGAGCAGTCCGTGAAAGACATGTAGCTATAGAAGAGCAAAGCATGTCCATTCAATATTTAGGAATTCAGCATAGCTAGGGTACAGATTGTTTGGGGAAAGGAAGGTTTGTAATGGTAGAAGAGTCTGGAAGGATAGGTTGAGGCTCATTTGTGAAGTACCTTGAATGCAGTGCTAAGAAATTTGGATGTGCTCAGGGCACCTGGGTGGTTCAGTTGGTTAAGCGTCTGAGTCTTGATCTCAGCTCAGGTCTTGATCTCAGGGTCATGAGTTCAAGCCCTGCCTTGGGCTCTATGCTGGGCATGGAGCCTACTTAATAATAATAATAATAATAATAATAATTTTTTAAAAAAAAAGAAATTTGGATGTGCTCCCATAGGCCATTGTTTTTCAAACTGTAGGGTGTCTGCCAGTGGTGGTTATGTTGTACTCCCACAAACATTTTAAGTTTTAGTAAGTATATATTCTGATGTGTCTCATAAAAGATAAAACTGAACTATGTCATCAATCTAAAGTTATGCAGGAAATGGCTTAGTAAAAATAGAAAGTGAACAAGTTTTATGTTCATTTAAAGACAAATATTAAGTAAATGATAGTACACGTGGTATGTGAATATGATAATACTCAAATAAAATTTGGGAAATAGTGATTGTAGGCAATAAAAAACATTAAAATATTTTAGAAGAGGAGCACCATAATGAGGTTTTTACTTTAGGATGCACTGGAGTGGGGACTGACCAGTTAGGAAGCTAGAGATGATGAGGACCCAAAGGAGCTTCATATGAGAGGAGGGAACAGATATAAGAGATATTTAGGAGGTAGAATTAGTAAGACTTGGTAGAGGTGACTATTATTATTCTATCAATGTCATCAGAATTATTTTTAAAAGTCTGTATGTCACTTGTCTGTTACCCTTTATATTCTAAGATGCGCATATTACTGCTCAAATCAGGCCATGGACATATATACATGAAGGTATCAGTGGAGGCTGTTTTTACAAATGGGTTTGGATTACACACAGGCATCTTCACTGCCTTACTGAGTGTCCTTGACAGCAGTGGCACAAATATTCAAGGCACTGGTAAGGAATATGAGTATGATCTGTGACCCTTAGTCATCTGAGGAACTCCTCCTTCCAGACTCAGTTCAAATATCAACATCTCTTTGAAGCCTTTCCTGCAACTCTCCCCACCCCCACCACCACACATAAACACATGCAAGCATACCTGAAACAATGTTCCTGGCTTCCATGGAACCCTGCACTTACCTCTGTCCTAGGCTGTACCACACTACAGTGTGTCAGTCTGTGGATGTGTCTGGCTCTCCCCTAGACTGTGAGCTACTTGAGGGCAAGGGCCAGGTCTCATTTATCTCCATACCCAGAACATCTAGAGCAGCTCTTAGCACTTGGTAGATACCTAATAAATGGTTATTGGATAAAAAAAAATGGATAAACATATTCATATGAATGTAACTCGGAACTTTGGTACCATAGTGCCAAATGTTACAAGAAAATTAGCTCTTTGCTACCTTAGCTGCTTTTGCTGAATAAAGCAGTAAATTAAAGTGACCTGAATGCATAATTTCACTAGAGGTTTCTTTTTTTTCATTTTCCTCCACTCTCCTGTGGTCCCCTTCCCTTTTTCATTCCCATCAATTATCCACCCAGCCACCTGTTCCTTAGACCTGCTCATTGCTTTGCTCTTCTTGCCAGAGTTCACATTGTTCCTGTCCTGATAGCCTGCCAAAGATCCATCCCTCCTCTCCACCCACCAAATCCAGTTGACTCCATCCTTGAAATCACTCTCAAATGGGTCTCTCACTCATAGATGCTGCTAGTGGGACTGTAATTTGGAGAGAAATTATCAGTATATATCAAAAATCTTAAAATTGGACATAGCTTTCAATCTACCACTTCAACTTCTGGGTCTCTATGCTGAGGAAGTAAATGTGATATTTCCAAAATTTTAGCTCTCAGGATGTCTATCCCAGGGGGAAAAAAAGAGAAAAACAGCATTTTAAATGTCCCCAATACTAGAGATTTAGATTAAATCAATTATGGTATATCTATAGAATAGTTTACTAAGTAGCCATTTAAGTTGATGTTACTAAAAAATATTTAATGATGTTGAAAGTTGTTTGTGATATAGTAAGAGAAAATTCAGGTTATGAAGCTGACAAATTCCAGTGTAAACACACACACATACACATGCACGTGGCCACACACACAGACACCCCGTGCATGCATACATTGAAAATTATCCTTATCCTGTAATGTTAAACACAAAAATTCAATAGTGGTTTGCTGTAAATGGTAAGGTAATGTGAGTTCTATTTTTAACGTTTTGCATCTTTTTATTTTCTAATCATCTATAATAGTATATTTGTTACTTTTTAAAAGTTATTAAAAATGTTTTTCCCATGTCTACCCCTATTATCATTGCCGTAGTTTGGGGCACAACCCCCCCACACACACACCCTGCAACACACACACACACACACACACACACACACACACACACACACACACACACACACACCCCTTCTAGCCTGGATTACTACTGTCTCCAACCTGCTTACTTTCCAATCCATTTTCCACCAGTGCTAACAGAATGATTTTTCTAAATCGCAAATCTGAAGCTATCCATCGCTATATAAAATAGTTCAGAGGCTGCCCATTGTCCTCAAGATAGAATCCAAATTTCTTCGATTGGCTTATAAAACTTCTGAAAATCAGCTCCCTGCTTTTCTCCCCAGTGTCACTTTTCCTCCTATGATTTACTTTTTCTTGGTGTCTAAGGCCAGTGCCTGGCATATAATAGGTATTTAGTTAATGCTAGCCAAATGTTGATGTGGACTATATGGGTTAACTGTTGTGTGCCAGGATTTCATTTCATCCTCAGTAAAAATGTTAAATACATGCATTAGTTATCCCTATTTTACAGATGAGGAAAATTAAATACATAAAAGTGGGAAGAAAAATCATCATAAAGAACATTTTTTTAAAGGAAAAAATCGAAACCTCCTGCTATAACACAGCTCTCTTCATTTTCCTGCAGCCCTTGCCAATCTTAGTCAGTATACGCACAGACTTTGTTCATTCCCTTGGGCAAGTTATATGTGACCACAGCATAACAAGAACAGTACAGACTGACATGATCTCACCATGTCACAGTTCACATTGTGCTAATTTACAGAAATCTTTCCTTTCTGTACCTAACACTTCATGCAGGAGAGACAGAAGAGCTCCAATTGCTCTGTTTTTCTTCCTGTTTTGAAAGTCTATGTCTTTTGGGATGGGGATGTCAGCAGAGAGCTACAGAAAACTGTGATAGAATTGAATATACAAGAAACAATGTGTCTCATGGGAGCCAATGTCATTGGTTAATTTATTTTTTTAAAATGTCATGTAGATGTATTTTCCAGCAATCTCTCCCCAGGGAAGACCTTGGTTGAATTCAACTGTTAATCCTATTTACAGAATGCAGCCCATGCGTGCACTATATTCCTGCATTGTTAAGTGATCTTAGACATATGTAGTGGATTACCATAACGACATACAATCAGGTGAATATGGGATATCTGATTTTCTCTACAAAATGCATCAGTGTTCATATTGTCATTCAGGATCCTGCAGCGTGGTCTTTCCTTCATTTGCCTTACAAATAATACTCATTGTGCAAAAATGGATGCTTTTAAAGGACAGAAGTCCTAAGCATGAATTGTCTGAATAAAATGATATTACTTTGTAAGGAATTGTCACTTTTAAATACTCCAAGAGAAAGAATCTATAATTCTCTTGTTCCATGATCAAATAAGTTGAATACAGAAATTACAGATAGAGTTTCAGTTCATTTGATGAATTATTGTGGGCTTATTATGTGCAAAGCATTCTGTTAGACACTGCACTAGATACTTACAAATACCCTCTTTTAATGCCTTCCAGA